CTTCCTTCATAGAGAATCCAGAACAATTCTCTATAAAACATGCGTAAGACCTATTGCTGAATACTGCTCTTTCTTATTTTCTAACGTACGCCTGTCTGATATACTGAAGCTTGAAGGAATACAAAGGAAATTTACTCGTAAAGTCCTAAATCATAGCTCACCCATTGACTATCCAACCCGATGTATTGAACTCGGGCTCGATCCATTATGGAAAAGAAGGCTTAAGTCCAATCTGATCCTTTACTTTAAACTCCTGCACAAGCTCACATATTCCTCCTGCAGTTTAGTCCTTATCCATGGCCCTTGTACACATAACCTTCGAGATAAAGTATCTACGGTCAAACTTGAAAAGTATAGATCCGAAACTCGAGAAAACTTCTTCCTCTCTAAGTATGCACTTATATGGAATAGGCTTCCCTCAAAAATACGCATGGCAAGTGGGTTACATGAGTTTGTTCAACTTCTTAATGATGCTCTCAGTTGCACTGACTCTTCTGCGCTCGTGAACTCACTCGCACCCTGCATTCATATTAATAGCTCTGCATACACTTTAAACACAATGAACTCAGTGCTGCGTCTTATTTAGTTATTTTTACACTCCCAAGTAGCACTAATTTTTCTAGTTGAATATAAATCTCTTTAGTTTTTATTTGAAATAGACAGGTTACTCTATTCACTGGGTCGATCGACATTGTTCAACTGTAAACTGGTTGATTAGAATGCACTCTACTCTCCTGGGCGCAACCTTATCAACACTTACAACTGTGTGAGTTTCACATTGCCTATTATCAATTATACTGTTCTCACTTACACGCTATTGACTTACCTTGGCCCCTTAGTGTTATGTATTGCTCCGCTTTTAACCGCGATACTCTTTATATCTCCTGCTTAGCTAGTTAAGTACATCTTCCCCACTACATTCTAAATGCTTATATCTTGTTTGAAAATTCTTACTATTTCTCCATAACTGTTAACTGTATAGCATTGATGCCTAACCAATAGTTCATAAGTTGTAACAGCCAGACGAGTTTGTGAAAGGAACTTGCAGAAATAGTGTTTCTCAACAGGATGCGAGACATAGAACATCAAGTAGAACTCAATAGCTTCTTTTAAACATTTAACACGAGCCTAACAACACAAAATGAGGGAGGGTGGAGTTACTGACCAGCAAACATTGATGGTGTGGGCGATAACTTCAAACAACCTATGTTTGTGGGGCAGAACATTTTGTTTGCTTTCAGCTCTTTAGATTGATGAGACGACTAATCAGTAACACTGAGGTTGCTCTTATACGCTTGCTACTTCTGTGGTTCATGTTTCCAAAACTATGCTGGGGTCGCTATTCTGTCGAGACACCTGCAACATTCTTTCTCAGGCGCTAACAATATGACTTAGAGGTTGGCATTCAATAATAATAAAATTAAAAAAAACAGACAGTGCGAGATTTTGTTCATCAAAATTTTATTTTTACAAACTCTACTCTTTCAACTAGAATTTCGATTTCAACGTACATAAATCCAGCTTCTTACTTCGACTTCTCTTCTATCCATCTGACACTGCACAACTCTCCCTTCTTTTTGCTGTACTCCCTTATCTGTGTGTTATATTCTTATATTCCCATAATTTACTTTAATTTACGTGGTCAGTATGAATTTTATCTTGACTTACTACTGTATTGACTACTTCAACATGACAGGTTAAGTAGTGCTTTGGTTATATATATACACTTGCCACATTGCTGCCTTTTTCTCTCTCCCTTCTCCTTTTCAGAACCCCATTCACGGTGGGAAATCCTTGGCGACTCTAGGGAACATGCACCCTAGGTACATGACTGTCTGGATCACAGCTCGTATCAAGCGCGTTCCATATGACCTTACCCAACAAATTCACTATTGATCTCGGCAAATCGCCAAAAGAACCTATTGTGCATCTTCCTTCCTTATTTGTACTCTACTATTGAAAATGAGGCTGTATAATACTGTTTCTGTCAGTGACATGGTGTAAATATGCAATCAGAAAATGACTCTTATACTTAATTTAACTGCTATAACTTTACAGTAATTGTGAAAGCATTTGTGACAATTTGATCTAGCCTGTAAACTGGCGTGACTCTTGTAACGTAGTTATTTGGGAATAAATTATTATTATTATTATTATTAAGAAGACTTCACATATCATCCTTGTAATTAAATCTGGGTCTGTGGCAAATGTTGAAAATTACAGACCCATAAACATAACTTCAGTAGTATCTAGAGTGATGGAGGAAGTAGTCAAGGCAGAGTTAATGCAACATCAACTTAGTAACAATCTGATATTGACCTCGCAGCATGGGTTCTTGAGGTCTAGGTCGTGTGACACATTCCTACTTGATTATTTCAACGATATCACTCAAAAAGAAGACAAAGGGCTTCTAGAATCACCGCTTTTCTTCGACTTTAAGAAAGTTTTTGATATGGTCTCACACAAAAGGCTTCTTAAACTAAAGTCATTCGGAATCAGTAACGCACATATTCGTGGTCGTTATCATTCCTGAATGGACTTCAGCAAATGGCAAAATGCAACAATTACCTTTCATCGTCAAGATTAGTAACCAGTTGATTTACCCAGGGGACTATATTAACTCCACTCTTGTTTCTGATGTACATAAACGATACACGTAAAACTATAAAATTTAGAAGATCTTACTGATATGTGGATGATCTGAAAATAGTATACAGCTATAAGCCTTAAGATCTGGACAAAAATATAGGCAGGATTCAGAGTGATCTCGATAACGTGACTACCTGGAGCGAAACATGGCAGCTACCGTTTATCCACAACAAATGTGGGATCATGCATTCTAGTAAGCATCACTATGATATACCACTCTACTTACAAAAATGTAGGGTTCTGACGCTCATATCAGCGTAGGATCTGGGTATTCATTACTTCAGAAGCCTAAAATTAGAAGAATATGCCTTAATTATTATCTCTGAATCCAGACGACTAATTGGGTTTATAAATAAGAATTTCTCGACAAATGATGCTAAGCTTACACTCTACAAAATATGTACAAGGCTCTAACTTGAATATTGCTGACTAATATTCTCAAACATGAATATCATGGTCAAGATAAGAGTAGAAAATGTCCAAAGAAGCCTCACTCGGATGGAGCCATAACCTCGACTATACAGAAAGGTGCAAACATCTTTCTCTAGAACCTCTGTGGTGCCGTTGGTTGTAAAACAACCTAATACTTCTATGTTAGCTGATGAATGGTCTCCCACCAGTAGTTGGGAACTTTTGCGAGGCTCATACGATTCCTCAATAAAATAATAATATGCATTTCTTCTGGATGATTATAGTTGAGAAATTCTAATAAGGACAATGGGTTATTTATCTACTCCAAATAAAAATTGTGTGTGTAGTGCTAAAAAAAGGCTGTTCTATATTAGTGCCTCCCTGAGGAAGTAAAAATTACTTTGAGGTTTTGCGTTGAACACTTCAATTTAGACGGTAGATATTTCGTCCCAAAAGTCGCATACATGTTTGCTTTGGGTTAGAGCTATACTTCAAGAGCAGTAAATAATTTTGTGCAGGAGCTTGAAGTAAATAATAAATTTGAACCTGAGCCTTCTTTTTCTTAAGGGATCAAGTTCTAAGGAATAGCAACCACGAGAATAGTCAATGATTTAATCATTTTTTGGATGAAGCAGTGTTGCATTCTTCCAATGTCCATCATATCAGACAGGCTTAATTTGGGGAATAAGAGCAGTTGACTTCAGCACTGAGGGAAAATGATCATCACAGGAATAAACGAAGTTAGGAAATGAAGTTCGGCATTCAAACCAAGGAAGTATTTTGATAGCATTCAGACAAACTGGGCTCTTGTTAGACTGGTTCAGTGTTATTCATGTTGGTGTCGGGAGACTCCAATACAACAGTTGGCTCCCCACTGAACACATTTGATAAAAAGAATGGATATAAAAGTTGGTTCGTTTGAACAGTTTTAGATAGGTAATTCATACTTCGGAGGAGTTTGGAGGCGAGCAAGAAAGAAGTAGTTGAATAAAGGAACTGTGTCTACTTCGTATATCTGAAAGTAGTGAAACAGCAGTCAGGACAATATAATTAAAAAGGTGTCACAAGTATTGGGGTTTTTATATTCCTGTTGTCCGTGCCAACTTCTAAATCGTAGATCCCAAACCTAATCAAATCAGAAGTTGTGAATAAAGGAGGAAGACATTTGAAAGATTGTCGACATAACGAAAAGCATATGATCTAAGCTGTCAAGTTGTAGCATGAGTAGCATGACATAACCAGTTGCCTGTTGGTGCTGATGTGTGACCGGGTGCCATCGTCTAGACTGTGTCCAATAAGAATGATGGGCTTTGCATTAATATTTAAGGACTGAGGAACGAATTATTTCAGGAGCTTATTGACTGCTGAATTTCTATAGCGTGATTCCTTGTTCTAAAATAGATACCATCATATACTGGATTCCTTTCATCTAGCAAAACAAACTACAGTGTCATTGTATGAACAAAGTCCAATAACTGCATGAATGCGCATCATTGGAAATTTTAGGAACTGACCAATAGGGATAATCACTAAATCTGGCGTAATTTTTAAACGTATAAGAAACCTTACTCAACTTTGATGTAGGTTGTCAGATTGTCACAATCTCACACTTCTGTGGTTACTAACTGTAGTTGATTGTTCGCATTCTAAAACGTAAGTGAATTCTATGTGGTTAATGAGTCATCGGCTTTCTTTCTTTTGGGCTTTTCCCTGTCAGAATCTTTCACATTCAACATACAAAGCACCTGGACACAAACCTACCAAAGTATTTGAGATCCTTTTAACCGCGAAAGATCACCTTATAAACTGTTTCTAAACAACAAAAAAGTGTGATTCATAAATAGAAGCTATATATAGCTCTCAAACTTATCTCGAAGATGAATGATATTTTTGAACATTTCCACAGATTGTTTGAGGATATGGCTTTTTCAGGGTTTTTCATGCGTAAGTTTAGGACAGAATATTTATCGTCTTAATGTAAAGCAAATTACAGGAATCAGTCACCACGCGATGAAATGTTACTCCATCCGGTATGTTTTTTATTTGCAATACTGACGTATTTTAGGAGGATAACTTGAATTCTCCACATATGCTGGAGCCATCCATGCCTCTCCCTTTATTTAGGGGCTTGGTAACACCACATATGGACAAAGACATGTCCAGTGATACCTTGGTAAGTCCGCAAGTCAAAATCCATTTAGCATTGATCTGTTCAGTACAATAGTAAGTCCTACTTTGTTTCCGATTCGCCTGATTTGTTTTAGTTTAAGTATTTAATCTGCTCATATAATATATAATCGCGCTTATAGGTAGGTACTAGGTTTTATAATTTCTGTTCTCCCGCTATCTGTTTCTTCAGCTCTGTAAAACCAAGTACATGAGACTACAAAGTTTTCTCTATAGCAGTTTCTAACCCTCTGATGAACTGTACGGTAACGAAACCTAAACTTAACTCGTGATAAGTTTGTGCCTTGTCCTGATATTTTACAACTCTGACTTCAGTAGAGTAAACTTGACTGCTGTTCTGCTTTGCTAAAATGAAATTACCAGTTAGTACAATTTGGTGTTGACTCCAGTTATATCATGTATTGAAAGTAGATATAAGTTATTCGATTACATATTAATAATACGTTAGAATTATTGGACTCAGTGTTCGTCACTAGGCGAAAATCATGGTAGAATTGTACTTCTGGTTCTTTAGCAGAATTCATTGTGAATAAATTAATCTGACGGAAGTTTATCTCAGTCGATATTGATTTCTTTTTTCATAAGTTTCTTGGCGATCAAAGTAACTTTGAGTCACTATCCAATTAAGATTTTTATTGTGTCGTTCGATTGTCACATTTCTAGAATAATCTAGTGCACAACCTTTTGCTGAGCTCTTAAGAGAACATCAACCCTTCTTTTAAAAGATATGGTTGATGTTCAGTAAGCGAATTGCAAGAAGACTAACTCTTATAAGCTTTCTCCGTAAAGATACTCTAGATTGCGAATAGTTGTAACAATAAATATTAAAGTTCGACATGCACGTGAATGAATGGTTAAATGTATTAGAAATATTCGAAGCCACTGAGGAAGACACCGCACCGTCATCTTCAGGCTACCACTGCTCTACATGTCGTTTACGCCAGAATAACTTTTCGGTCGTATCAATGTTCAGCTAACATAGGTCATGGGAAGTGACTGAAGTTCGTTATTGTAATTTGAGTTGATAAGCGCGACTTCTATACTCGTCTCTCAAGCCACCATAAGTTATGAGACACGTTAGCAAAATAGGTTTTATTTTTCTTTCAGTTAATTGTAGTCGATGAGTCATAAAGCCACCTACTTACCTGCCCCAGTAAATGCAGAGGTAACTTAAGGTTCGTCATATATATATATATATATATATATATGTACAAAAAAGATCACAAATTGCTACATTTACAATATAAACCACCATTTCAGTAGTTGAAGTAATCTGAGTAACCAGTTAACCTTTCTTTGAAATTACATATGTATCCTATGTAGCCATTTACTATATTTAAATGATCATGAAAACTAAGTAATTTGTTCATGATTTATACATTTGGTCTTTTTAACCCTAGCAGCAAATAGATCCTCCTGGCTTTAGAAAAGGAGATATTATCATTGATGATCAACCAGCTAATGGTCCGTTCACTGAGAAGCATGAATCACCAGTACGTAGATGGGTCAGTTCTTTCACGAGTAAACAGGTCATAGTTAATAACGGAGTAAGTCCCCACATTTTAGACCAATTTATTTAGTATCGTTACACCTTATCTGATTCTCTAATATGGTTTTCGTCAGTGTAAAAGTCTGTTGATATACACCGAACTTGCTCTATATACGTCAGTCAGTCAGTTGCAACGTAGAACTTCGTACGTATGTACATAAGTTCATGTTGCCATACCACCTTAGCACAGAGACGCAAATGTCAAATCGAATCCCATAGTGATAAAGATAGTGGAGGTATTAATGGTAATGAAGAAGACTAGGGTTTGAAGATATTATTCAAGAAGTATAATTCAGTGAGATAAGGTTAGAAAGACAAAGGTAGAGGTGCTGACAAATCCAAAAGATAAGGATTTGAGAGAGCTCAAAGAATGGATGCACTTGCGCCATTGCAAACGATTTTGAGCCATGTCGTTCAAGGTCTCTAACCACTGGTGACTTTCGTCTCGCGGACCCCAACCAGGTAGTCTACATCTACCAACATGACTCAGTCCACTAGTCAGTGACTTCATTGATTTCTGCCATGTTTTGGTTTGGCCGCCCCTAGCTTTCTTCCAACCTACTCCTACACTGCAAAACATAGCTCATCGCGGCAGTCGATGGTTAGCCATACGTAACACATGTCCCAACCACCTCAACTGATGAAGTTTCACCACTTCATCGATTGGTCTGCCATTCTTACCTAGTACCCGTTTCCTAATAACAGCGTTGCTCATTCGGTTGTCCCACGATATACGAGCAATGCTTCGAAGACATCTATGATCGAAAACCAATAACCGACGAGTATCTTCTACTCTCATTGGCCATGTTTCACAGCCATAAAGTAAGACGGAGCGAACCACTGCGCAGTACACTCGTCCTTTGGTTAGTGAACGGATATCACGCCTACGCCATAAGTGACGCAGGTTGGCAAAAACCAATCGACCTTTCTTTATCCGAGCTGAGATTTCGTCAGTCACCAGGCTATCAGCACTGATGAGACTCCCGAGATAAGTGGAGTGATCAACACGCTCGACTACTTCACGCCCTGTCACTAGTTCAGGTACCGATGAAACCCAATATTGAAGCAACATTTTGCATTTCGAGGGGGAAAACCGCATCCCGAACATGCTCGCATTGTTGCTTATGGTAATCAGAGGACTCTGCGTTTGGTCAGCGTCTTCACCGAATAGAACTATGTCATCGGCATATTCCAGATCAGTAAGCGACTTTCCTGATAGAAGGTCAACCCCTGGAAAATCTGACGAGCTTAATGTTAACTCTAAGAGGATGTCTACGACAAAGTGAAACAAGAATGGAGAGAGTGAACAGCCCTGACGGACACCACTTGATGTAGAGAATTCAGATGACAGTTCGCCATAGGCTCTCATTCGACCAGTAGTGTTCGAGTAGAGCTTGTATAAGGTTAATATACTTCTTTGGTACACCTTTCAATGACAGACAGTGCCACAGAACCTCACGATCCACTGAGCCAAATGCCGCTTTTAGGTCCAGGAACATGACTATTGTCGGACGTCTAAATGTGTGTCTGTGTTTCAGGACCTGTCGTAGTGTGAAGATGTGGTCTATACAACCACGTCCAGGTCGAAAACCAGCCTGGTTTTCTCGAGTCTGCTCTTCACGAGCTCTAGTTAGACGTCTAAGTATAATGGAGGCTAAAAATTTAGAAACTATATTAGTTAAACTTATTCCCCTGTGATTGTCACAAGAGGACTTTTGTCCTTTCTTGTAGATGGGGACAGTTAGCGGCTGAGACCAGCCAGATGGGATTACGTCCAGTTCCCAGATTCTATCTAGGATCTCGGTCAGTCTAACTGTTAAAACTGGACCACCATCCTTAAACATCTCAGGGGTAAGCCTATCAGGACCTGCTGCTCTACTTCGCTTCAGATTTCCTATGGCTTTCTCAACTTCATGTAGACCAGGAGGACTTAAATCGATTTGCCATTCAGGATGACTAGGGATCGTGGATAACCGAGGAGTGGCTCGAGGCCAGTTGAACTGATCCCTAAAGTGTTCTGCCCATCGGTCCAGTCTCCTGGATTGAGAATGGATAATAAGGCCATCCTTTTCCGAAATAGTCTCACATTTGGGTTCTTAGTACCGGTTTCCGTGATGAGTCTGAATAGTTGCCTACTGTTGCCTATCGCCGCTGTCTTTTCCATCACTTTTGCTTTCGCCACCCACCTCTGTTCGCGGTCGTTACGTAGGCTTTTTATAAGTCTGCGCCTAAGCTGACTACGCTCTTCATCATGTTCAGAGTCAGGTGGGATGCGTTTTCGAGCTCTATATACGAGTCACCATTCGTAACTCTCTTAGCTATTCTTAGGCGAGTGTATCGCTTGAGACTTCGATAGAGTGAAGTGAATGAAAGTATCGACTACTTCACATACCTTGGGAGTATTATCAATCCAGATAGCCCAGTGTCCGACGAAATCTTGGCACCAATGCATGTATGTACCCAGTTCTACGTTGTTGCTGTCTGACTTACAAGAGCAGGAAAATGTAATCGCTTTCAAAGTTTAAGTAACCCTACAAGCAAGTTCTACTGTTTTAGCAAATCTTATCTATTTTAAAATTTACTTAAACCACAGCCAAGTCATAATAATGTCGAACATAATACTCTCAAGACTCCATCATTAGTAATTGTGCCATTTTCTAATTAAAACTTATGCAACACACCATTACCGTCTAGTTGCATTTACTTCATAGATCTAGAAATGTGACTTTATACGGATATCTTTTTACCCTAAAAGTTATGTGAATAGTTTCGTCTGCGGTTTTATTATTTACTTTTGTAATTAGTTAAACTATCGACTAATGAGTCAAAGTTATGGTAGAACTCATCTCAACATTTAATTTCCTCTAAAATTATAGGAGGTTAAAGAGTTACAGAAACAAGTAGTTCGTGAACCAGATGGCACTGAAGTCCACACAACAATTGAACGGTCACCTGATGGGGAAAAGAAAAGCGTTTTTTATAAGAGACCCGATGGGCAGCAGTTCGATGTTACAAATAGTGAAGGTAAGAGACCCTAAGATACGTCTTTCTCAAGTTTTATTTTTCCTTTGAGTGCTTTGATAGTTAATTTCCTAATTAAATGTTATTTAAAGTAGTAATCACGCCATGTAGGTAACTTGACAGTAGAGAATTAGCAAACTCACTATATGATGGCTTTCAATATATGCATTATTGGATGGTCTACCATGTGATCATACAATTGAGTGAACTCAGTGTTAGGTTTCGATCATGTGCTCTTCCAATTCACATGATTATTTAAATAAGTGAAATGGTTATGATTCTAAAAAAGGATGCTCGTGGTTTGTCATAACGTATCCTTCTCAAGTACTCTGCAACTTCGGTTTACTAGAGGACTTGGTTTCCAAAACTAGTGCACAGTGCAGTATTTATGTGCAGTTTAACTCTTAAATATTCGGAGAGTATCTGTCAATATATTTTCTACTCTCTACTATGAGTAATAATAGTGACTATTTCGCGAATATGAGACGACTAAATGGTCAATCCTCATAGTTTTGGAAAGTGGATACTAATCGGTTCTTATTTAGATAAAGCACTGTACACAACCTCCTCACTAATAATCTTGCCACACAGAGTGGCTTTCTGTAGCATATCTTTAGTTCATTGCCAAATTTCTCAGTGTCAAAACGTAGTTTAAAATACTCAATACATGGCTAGTCAAATTAGGCTTTTTTTATATATAACCACTGACGTTCCTCCAAAAACATCTTAGTTACCACTTACTTTACTCACACTACACAAATTTTATGAAACAACTTTGTTTGGTGCCTAGCTCCACTTCAGACACCTAAAAGGTACACAAAGATACGCAAGACGGGTGGATATAAAGGTGAGATAAGAGTTAATGCTTTGACTCAAAAGTTATGCTTAGTGTATGAGGTATCTTAGTGTTAGTGGACGAAAGTAAATTCGAATATTTTAATAATTACACTTAATGTTTGGGAGTTCAGAGGTTATATGTTCAAGATCCTATTTCTACATCATCATTAACATTGACACGGTTGCAATGCACTCCAGGTTACTAATAACTGAGTTCACTTGGTGACAAATTTTGGCTTGTACCATAAATATACATTATCCTGTTAGAAACCAGAGCAGATTAATTAATTTCCAAATATACTGTCTCGATTTTCATTGTAGATTTGCAAATCATGAACCAACGTGTTCCACCAACGGAAGAACATTATTCAGAAAACAAGTATTCACGGATTTTCGATGCTGTACGACGTTGGTATCACGGGAATTAAACACGCAGATGTATGGACACATTACTTTTTATTTGATTTCAAAAATTTTTAGTAGATAATGTCATTTAATCATCATAGTTCTTTACCTTTGTAAAGGTGAATAGTTCAGCAACTTCTCTATCAAATCAACATGTGAAAGAAGCATGCGTCGACAACAGTAACGTCTCAAACCTAAGGTATCCAGGGCATCTCCTTCAGCGTATTCAGCTTGAAGTAGGCCAATATAGCTTTCCCATTTATCACCAACAACCTTCCCGCACGTAAAGCAACGTATGGGTATTATCATTATTGCCTAGAAATAAGGTATACATTAAAATATTGCAATGAACATGTGTAAAAACACAACATTAGTAACCCATTAACTCTGTACTGCTGTTACTAATTAAGAATATGTATATATTTAAAGCACCAAACAACACAATTAATCGTGGTCAGCAGTACGACTTCACCCTCAGAGCTTAAGCTGCTGCTCAGATAACACCAACTTTAAACTAGTAAAAACGTCTTTTTGACATGGCGACCCTAAAATTGATTTAATATCCGATCCAACTAGACCACATTGCTATAAGTGACCGATGGAGAGGTTCAATAGAAGACTGCCACTAATTCTGAAGCACATATTTGGATCCAGATAATGCTGTCGTACGAGCGTCTATTTGTCTGAGTATCGCTGGACGTAAGAAATACAGCAAGGAAACCCTTCCGAGTTCTACGTGACAACAGAAAAAAGCAGAGTACATTTCGAAGGCAACTAGAAAAACAGTTTGACAGCCATCTACGTGATCCCAACCCCAAAGCAGCTTGGAATAACGTTCTAAATGCTATGAAAACAGTAGTGATATCTACCAGTAAATCACACCAAATTGGGGAGAAGCAATGTAATTCATTAGCCTCTATAGAACGGATAGACGCTCAGGGACTCGTTCCGTCCGACTTGGAATACGACAAGGAGCGGACTCAGCTTAAGCACATGTTCAAAGAAATTCTATGCGATGACCACGAACAGTGATGGGTAGCGAACGCGGGAGCTGTTACTTCAGTAGATAAGTGTTCAGGCATATCACGGAAACTTGTTTTAGTCATTCAACTTTTTGCGACACGCCGAAAACGATGGGACTGTTATTCACCATCAACCCGTAAGATTGGATAGGTGAGCAGAACACTTTCGGGAGCAGTTTGACTGATCTTCAGTTAGAAACCATTTTCAGTCAACTGGTAGAGCGACAGTTTATGGTGAACTGTCATCGGCATTAATCACTTCAAGTGGAGTTCGTCATGGCTACTCACTCTCATTGTTCTTATTCAACTTTGTCACTGACATAGTTTTAGAGACCACTCTCATCGTCTGACCTAGCAGGAGACTCGCTTATTGGCGTAGAATACACCGACGACATAGTTCTGTTTGGTGAAGACGCCGACAAAATACAGTCTTGTAACCACCTTGAGTAACAACGCATGTTTCGGATGTGGTTTCCCCCTGCAAATACAGAGTGCTGCTCTAGGATTAGCTTGCGTCGGCATCAAAACTAGTTATAGGGAGTGGAGTCGTTAAGTGTGCTGACTTCTTCACTTATCTTGAGAGCCATATCAGAAGATGCTGATGATCTGGTATCTGACGGCGGATACGAAAGGATGGACTGGCTTTTGCCAGCTTGCGTCACTTGTATGATAGGCGAGACATCCATCTGTTAACCAAAGGACGAGTTTACTGCGCAGCAGTTTGCTCCCTCTTACTGTACGGGTGTGAAAGGTGGCCATTGAGAATAGGGAGAAGAGCGGCTAAAGCATAACACAGCAACAGTTTATAAAGTCAATAACATTTGGAAGTCGATCTATGTTAATAGATGCAGACTACTTGGTTGGAGTCCGCGAGACAATCATAGTCGGTGTCTAGACTTTGAGTGACATGGCTCGAGACCGCTTGCAATGGCGCAGGTGCATCCACTCATTACCTTCTCTCAAATTCTAATCCGTTGAGTTTCTTATGACCTTTTTTCTCTTTTTGGATTTACTTCACCGGCATATACTTCTCAAATTATATATATACATCCCTAACCTTTCCCGTTAACGCTAATACTGCTACTACTATCAGATTTGAACTAACAATTCCGTCCCTCTATGATAATGTGGTGTGGTAACTTGAACTGATGCATGTATATACCGCGCTCTACGTTCTTGCTGACTGACTTGCTTTAAGTCCGCAAACGTGTTTTCTTTACTAGCCAAACAGTAACTTAGATCTTACGTAATATTAACTACAGAGGAGTACAAGTTTTATGTTTTGATGATTGAAATCTTTACCCAAAGGAGGGTAGGGTCAGGTATGCAAGGCGTCCCAACCAATTAGTTCTCGATTCAGGTGTACACAAATCTCTGCAGCCGTTATACACAACAACACAAACACACACAACAAACATTGCAGTTAGACAACCCTAAGCAACAATGTAAGCATGTTCGGGTTGCGGTTCTCACCCTCGAAATGCAAAATGTTGCTTCAAGATTGGGTTTCATCGGTACCTGAACTAGTGACAGGGCGTGAAGCAGTTGAGCGTGTCGATCACTTCACTTATCTCGGGAGTCTCATCAGTGCTGATGACCTGGTGACTGGCGAAATCTCAGCACGGATACAGAAGACTCGATTGGCTTTTGCCAATTTATGGCGTAGGCGGGATATACGTCTGCTAAGCAGAGGACGAGTGTACTACGCAGCAGTTCGCTCCGTTCTCTTATATGGTAGTGAAACATGGCCGTTAAGAGTAGATTTTCGTAGGTTACTAGTATCTGATCAAAGATGTCCTCGAAGCATTGGTCGTGTATCGTAGGAAAACGGAGTAAGCAATGCTGTCGTTAGGAGACGAGTATTAGGTAAGTATGGTAAATACTGCATCTTCAGCAGCTGAGGTGGTTGGGTGCTGGTGTTTGGTTCTCTGAGCTGGATGTTTTGGTTGTGGAGCTTTCATTGTTCTTCTGAGCAACATCATCAGCACAAACTTCAGATAGAAGTGAAGCATTCGAATTTCTCCACGTATGACTTGTAGCTTGTTCTGCTAACCTCGATCTTGATTGGTTGCTGTTGACCTTAAACCTGTCGTTGTTTGCACCTTTGTTTTGATTGTATCCCCCTTTTGATCTGTTTCTTGATCCTATGTCACCTATGATTTTTCTGATTGGTTGATAAATTGGGTCAATGTCGGTGTGTTTGTTGATCGCTGACTGACCTGAGTAGTGCCAAGCTTCTAAAAATTCCCTAGTGTTCTTTGTCTCCCCCCTATCCAGTATTTCCAAATTGTTCCAATCGAATGCGTGTCCATAATTGTCGGTGTGTATTGATATGAGCGAAGTGTTGTCGTGGCGTTTGACTGCCAACTGGTGTTCACGTAAACGAAGCTGAAGAGGCCGTCCACTTTGTCCTATGTAGTGTTTTTCACAGTCTGAGCAATTTATTTTGTAGATGATATTTGGTTTTTTTTCATTTGTCATTTTGTCCTTTGGTCTACATAGGATTGATTGAAGTGATTCTGTTGGTTTGTGTGCCACACCTATTCCAAATGGTTTCAGTAGTCGTGCTGTATGCTCCGATATGTCTTTTATGTATGGTAGGATGATCCGTTTATTGGTTCCTGTGCTTAATTTCGCTTCTGTTTATGATTTCGGTTGATGTTTTTTGAAGTTGCGTGGATAGCCATTCTTTCGGAAGATAGTCACAAGTTGTTTTTCCTCGTTTTTTAGTGCTTCGTATGTGCTGCAGTGTCTTCACTCTCTTGAACAAAGTTTGTATGCAGTTGATTGTGTGGGTTCTTGGGTTGTTGCTATCGTAGTTGAGAATTACGTCTGTGTTGGTTGGCTTCCGAAATAGTTGAGTTCCCAGTTTTCCTGCGTTAGTTCTGGTGATCAGTACATCCAGGAATGGTAGACTGTTGTTTGATTCCTTTTCTATCGTGAATTTAATGTCATCGAAGACGTTGATGATCTGATTGTGAATGTTCTCCAGCTCGTTCCTTTCGGTGATGACGAATGTGTCGTCTACATAGCGAACCTACATTTTTGGCTTGATCACTGGTAGAATCGACGCTTCTAGTCTCTGCATTACAGCTTCCGCGATGAGTCCCGATATTGGTGATCCCGTTGGTGTTCCTTTTGTTTGTTTGTAGACTTTGTTGTTAAATTAAAAATTGGTTGTTATGCATAGACCGATGAGTTCAAGCAGACTTTGACTCTCTCCCTGCTCCTCATCAATGACACAAATGTCGGGACTCATCGCGGAAGCGGTAATGCAGAGACTAGAAGCGTCGATTCTACCAGTGATCAAGCCAAAAATGTAGGTTCGCTATGTAGACGACACATTCGTCATCACCGAAAGGAACGAGCTGGAGAACATCTACAATCAGATCATCAACGTCTTCGATGACATTAAATTCACGATAGAAAAGGAATCAAACAACAGTCTATCATTCCTGGATGTACTGATCACCAGAACTAACGCAGGAAAACTGGAAACTCAACTATTTCGGAAGCCAACCAACACAGACGTAATTCTCAACTACGATAGCAACAACCCAAGAACCCACACAATCAACTGCATACAAACTTTGTTCAAGAGAGTGAAGACACTGCAGCACATACGAAGCACTAAAAAACGAGGAAAAACAACTTGTGACTATCTTCCGAAAGAATGTCTATCCACGCAACTTCATCAAAAAACATCAACCGAAATCATCAACAGAAGCGAAATCAAGCACAGGAACCAATAAACGGATCATCCTACCATACATAAAAGACATATCGGAGCATACAGCACGACTACTGAAACCATTTGGAATAGGTGTGGCACACAAACCAACAGAATCACTTCAATCAATCCTATGTAGACCAAAGGACAAAATGACAAATGAAAAAAAACCAAATATCATCTACAAAATAAATTGCTCAGACTGTGGAAAACACTACATAGGACAAAGTGGACGGCCTCTTCAGCTTCGTTTACGTGAACACCAGTTGGCAGTCAAACGCCACGACAACACTTCGCTCATATCAATACACACCGACAATTATGGACACGCATTCGATTGGAACAATTTGGAAATACTGGATAGGGGGAGGACAAAGAACACTAGGGAATTTCTAGAAGCTTGGCACTACTCAGGTCAGTCAGCGATCAACAAACACACCGACATTGACCCAATTTATCAACCAATCAGAAAAATCATAGGTGACATAGGATCAAGAAACAGATCAAAAGGGGGATACAATCAAAACAAAGGTGCAAACAACGACAGGTTTAAGGTCAACAGCAACCAATCAAGATCGAGGTTAGCAGAACAAGCTACAAGTCATACGTGGAGAAATTCGAATGCTTCACTTCTATCTGAAGTTTGTGCTGATGATGTTGCTCAGAAGAACAATGAAAGCTCCACAACCAAAACATCCAGCTCAGAGAACCAAACACCACCAACACAATCATCCACCTTAGCTATAAATCTTCACCATTTCAGAGGTGGTTGGGACATTTATTACGATTGTCCGACGAATGGCTGCTTCGACGAGCTTCGTTTTGTAGTGTAGGAGTAGTTGGGAAGAAAGTTAGGGGCGGCCAGACCAAAACATGGCACAATGCATAAAGTCACTGAGAAGTGAACTGAGTCATGTTAGATGTAGGCTGCCTGGTGGGGTCCGTGAGACGAAAGTCACCGATGGTTATAGACCTTGAGCGACATGGTTCGAGATTGTTTGCAGTGGCGTAGGTGCATCCACCCTCTGTGTTCTCTGAAATCCTAATCATCTTGATTCAACACCTCTACCTTTGTCTTTCTAAACTTATCTCACGTAACTATGTTTCTTCAATAATATCTTGGAACCCTAAACTTCTCCTTTACCAGTAGTACTTCTAGTATCTCTACCACTATGGGATATGAACTGACTATTGTGTCTATGTGCTAGTGTGGAATGGCAACGTGAACTGATGTACTTATGTACGGAGTTCTACGTTGCAGCTGACTGACTGTTAGTCATTCCATGATTCGTATACTTCAGTTTCGCTCATAATGTGTCCGTAAAACGTAATTAGATCCTACTTGACTTCTCTATCGGAATGTTATATAACCAGATTTATTTAAGTAATTAGTTTGTTCTGAAAGATACTAGGTACGAGAATACTCAACTATCTTATGAAGGTTATTTCACAAAATACATTACGGTGAAATTTAAGTCAAAGCAGTGATTGGTACTCTGAAAAGTGTAAGTCCTCAACAAGGCATGAAGTCAGACTTTAGCTTTAGTCACACTTAAGGTGTAAAGGTTGGTGCGGCCAAACCGAGTTTTTAAATCGGACTACTTGAGGCGAGTTTTGAATATTTGCTAAAAAGGTTAGTTTGGTATTCCTCTTCACAAGGAAGTCGATACCACAGACAGTTAATAAATAGGATTCAATACATTACTAAGAGAATTGCTTATTGTGGTACTGGCATCAAAATCTGTTGCTATGCTTCTAACTTGAAGTGAAACAATACTTGGATGCATACATCTCTACTGATCGCAGAATTTCGGCCGCGAATTTCAGTACTATTAACAGCGCTTCTAGCCAAGAATGTCTGTTCAAACTATATCAGTTTATCCATCCAAGTTTGTTGGCCTTGGTCAGTTTTAATGTAAAGAAATGGGAAGACAAATTTCTGAGGCCATGTTAGACCTACAACATCTAGTGGAAATATGATTTAAGAATCTTGTAGTACTAACAACAAACGAGCCAAAAAGCAGTCTAGTTACTATGCTAAACCTTTAGCGACAGAAATCATTACTTCGTATCATTAACGTTTCAGCTGTGCTATAAAATCAGGATTATAGCAGGGATGGCATTGGAAACTTCAGCAATCAAAATCACAGCTGACAATAAAATTACCTCTACACTAGACTACATGAAGCGGACTTACTTTAGCATTCATAAGTTTACCAATCATTAGCCGTACACCCAATCAGAAAATAAACATGAAACGTTGATAAAAGTCAACTAGTGGTGTTTCGCACAACTGACAAATATTAAGTGGCTTAATTAACATTTTCGGATCTCAAGAATAACCAATGAATGTACATCTGACGTCACGACTCAGTAGTAAGGAATAGACAAGATCAATGAACTTTGATTGCATGTACCACTCTTAATTATTTCCGTACTATTAGCCTAAATGTAAAGACATTTAACACACGATGCTGGAAGGACTGTATGAGACTTGCTCCAAATTCTGATAATAGTGGAGATATCCGTCGTGAGTGGATGTCAACTGAAATACCACAAATAACAAGCACTTTCAGAGATACGAAGTGATACCAAGGTAATAGCCAGCGATCCCTTATAAAACACCGTGTGCAAAAAGTGCCCTCGAAAGCTCCTTAGTGACAGTAACTTCACCTTATTTAGGGTCTCAAGATAAACGTAGTGTGAATTCAGGAATAAAGCGAATCGAGCTCAATATTGACATAGCTAGGACTCTAACTGGAAACATTGGTGACGCACTGCTACAAGAAAGGAAACATGTTAGGCGATGGCTCCTATTCTTTCTAAAACCATCTGAGTGTGGGTGCGCAGGAATATGGTACGGACGAATGCTGCACAGTCAGCAATCTTCGTGTGTTAAGTGACTTAGCAAAAATGGGGTCGCAAAGCATCTAGCCCCATATTCTGTTGGCAATTATTCACGCTCTCCATATTTTACGGTTCAGAAATACAGTACCACCAGGTACAGAATGAACTAAAGAGTCATTTGTGGCTATCATGTGTATCTTGAAATGGATCAGAGAAGGAATTAGCCTACACTTAACCCAGAAGAAACTAATGACACACTTGTAGTTCTCGAAGTTTGAGTACACTTTGAAGATACCCTGTTCCAATCCCAGGACCCCGGAAAACCTTTAGTCAATTCTAGGGAGATTGCAATAGTAAATTTAGGGAAAATGCAACTAGAACCCCTTAACTCTGTATAGCATGGAGAAAAACATGAAGTTTTAAATGACGATAAAGAAATCCCCACAATTTTCCTACACTCGGGAGATTGGGATGTGCTGAGAGAAACAGGAAGGGACAAGTAAAAATGGACCAGCGAATCAATAATCACATACGATACACTTACGTCTAAGAATGTGAGCAATGGGCAATAATTAGGAATAACACTAGCGTCAGATTACGATAAACCGGATTTCAATATTCAATGTCGTTTTCACGATCTAGTATAAACTATTTTCAGTACGACTCCTGGTATCTGGTTTGATTCAAGGTTTAGTAGCGTGCAATTTTGAATGCGTTACAGCTTGTTAGTTCAAATGGTTGTGAACAGACCAAAGGAATTTTCGCTTAACAGATTTCCGTATCCTGTAACAATGGATCACCAATGCCTTCAGCTAGGAGCCTAGATATATTCAGTAAGTAAAAGAGAGATATTAGTGCATGATAATTGTACGCTGTCCTTAGTCCCTAAAAATATTTTTCAATCAAAGTAATGGAGATCATTTTTTTACACATTGAAATCAATCATTGTTAGACCGTCATTAGAAACTTGGAATCTCTGAATGGCCTTTTCGTCTCAATTCTGGAATCTTCGGCAGTGCTCATACACTTCTACTAGTCGCAGGATTCAAAACTTAAAACATGCCGAGTTTCTTCTTGAAGGAGTCTAAAGAACTCGTGTGGACAACTGCAGCTGATAGAGAATTTCAGAATGTAACTGCTGGTAGTGAATGGGTTTGTCTAATCTTCGTTCCACTACCTTATGCATTTGGTCTCTTGGTACTACGCCTGAGGTTAATGTTGGCCCTGAGCCATAGACATATTTCTTCAGCGGAAGTGAGACCGAATAAGACTGTTAGAGATTAGTTGGAACCTACTGTTGTCAAAATGTCCAAAAATACTCATCAGTATTACCACTGCCAGGTTTTCACAGATGCAATTTTGCCTCAGATTTTATCTTTTTAACGTAAAGTACTTCAAGATTCGTGCTACTTGAGTTGTCGGCGTAATCCGCAATACTTATCAGACGTTATAGTCCACGCTTTATAGTATAGGAAGTTAGTGCATCACTATGTGTCTGAATATGAAGTTGACACATTTTCTCATAAAGTATAGGCCTATCTTTTTGACCGTAAACGTCAGTACGAGGTATTATGTAGTCAGCAAAAATTAATGATTCAGATGATACTTCGTAAACAAGGTCATTTATACAAATTATAAATAGGTCTTGGTGTAATGAACGAAGATGTTGATATCAGATGAGATAGTCGATTAAGGGAAAGAATACTCAGTTTACCAATGAAATGTGTACATTTTTCTTCACACTTCCATTTACAAAACAAGCTATTCTTAGCCTTTTTCTTCCACACGTCTTCTAGTCTTCAACACACTTAGCATATTTGGTCCTTGTCATTTAGAACAGTTTATATAGACTGTCATCACCATTTAACTTGTATTCTATCATGTATTTTGAATTCTCGCATTTGAAGAGTGTAGTTACTCTCGATTGTGGACAGCTTATGAATTTTCGGGATTGTGGAACAACCTGGCTTGCAACATGTAAGCACCTGTTCTGTCAGGAATCCCAGTTAGTGTTCACATCAAGTTGGGAATGAGTTTCCTACTCCACTTGATGTTTGTTGTTCTTTGAAACTGATGCATCCAGCCGCCTGAAATTCCGGCATCTGTAACTAGCAGAATGCTTTAGCTCGGTTCTTTTGATAAAAAGTGAAGTCTATGACGATTCGATCACTTCTCAGTGGGGATAGGATCGAAAGGCTGTTAATATGCATTTCTTCCCTTTATCCAAAACTGACGTCATCCGATTATTTCCCCGCCGAATTACCAACATCATAATTTCGAATTATCCCGATTTCTCAATGAGGTTAAAAGGCCGAAATTTATTGAAGATGCTGCCTCCATTGCATGCATTTACGACGAAGGTAACTATTAAAAGTGTGAGGAAAAGTAAAATTAGGATATGGGTGCATCAGAGACCACTGAAGTGGGATGATTCTTCAAGGATACGGTTCTGTCATAGAATTACAGTAGTAGGTTTTCTGCAAGTAATTTCAACAAGTCAGAATAAAGTGGAAGACCACTTGATCGAGTGCCAAGCAGATTCGTCAACATTGATAAACTCTTCAGAATAATTTTCTACGTAATACCAAGCAAGATCTTAGTTACTGGGCTGCACACCCTCCACTTCATCTTTTCTGAGGCAGCAAATCGAAAACATTCCAGGTATCGACAACTCCTGGTTCTCGATTTGAGATTTCATTTTCACACAGTCCTACCAGATGAACACTATTGGCGTCGGTCAGTTCATACAACTCACCCATTTTTTGCAGTTGACGCTTCAGATTTGAAACGTATGAGCTTCCTCAAGCTCTTTGAATGAATCCTAAACGAATGGACAAACAATCTACTTACTCTGGGTTTTCCGGGTTGTTGGTGCCTGTATTTCCCATGCTTTTTCTTGTTCTCGAAAGTGCATAAGCGGAATATTTAGTTCTGATTTGTTTTTTTTCCTCATTCTCGCATCATGAAGTCTAAACAATGTCTGTGGGTTTCAGCTGTAATCTGGAGTCTTCAGACATGCAGTACCAGTTCAAATGCAAACATAAACACACGAACTGTCGGGAGCAGAAATGCAATGAAGGACTGGTTCGTGGGATCTGTTAAGATTGACAACGATGGCTTTCACATACGAAGCGGAATTACCTTTTCTTGACGGCTGTTGAAACTGGGCCCCGTGTCTGATAATTCCTCTGGAACCACTGGTATTGAAACAGACATTGTGACGGTTGCGCGGTCACGTCAGTAGAAAAGATTTGTCAACTTACTGAATTCATTGCATCAATAATGTTTCGGCATGATCCATACCCATAGGCTTACCACATGTTAAAATTTCCTACATGATCCTGTCTGTTAGATTTGTAGTCTCAGGGTTGTCAAAGACAGATCCTTCTGAAGTCTGGTGTCCTCTTTTTGAAACTGGGCGGGCGTGAGAACGACCTTTCCTTGAAACCTGTTTGAGGAACTTGCACGAGAACAGCTATCAGCATGTTTGCACTAGAAATAAGTTGCATATCTGAATCAGACGACGAGATGTCGGACAAATATCGGGGTGATTGTCTGAGGACTAGCAGAGAAAAAAGCCAAGGACTTGAATTTGGAGAAATGAATGAACTTTCGGCCTTCCATGAACGAAAAAGTTTAAAGTCTGAGTAACACAAATTATTGCAAGCGTCGACAAATATGGTATTCAAGATAACGGTTGATGCTTTGAGATCTTGCCGTTAGTGATATGCGAAACGAAATCGAGGAAGCCAATCACCAATCGATATCTCTGAATTTTTCCAACAGTGTTGTGATTATTGGATCGTTTGATGAGAAAGTTTAGATGCTCGATATGGGATTCTGTACCCAAACTTGCACTAAGTCAGTCACCGACGTAGGCTTTCACAAAGTTAGGATAATCGAATATGTGGTCGATTTAATTTGATTAAACTCTTCAACGGAATCGATTTTAAGAGAAAAAGTCGTCAAATTCGGACCGTTCTTTATGCCTAAAGACACCGACACAGTTCCACTCGATTGGGAAGGCGTGACGATAACAGCTTGGTTCACAAGGTCACTAGTTATGTTCTTAAACTTAACGGAATTCCAGAAAACCGGCAGTGCCTATCGGGCTAATTGTCAGGTCGTAGATGTACGGTATCCGATTGTGAACGGAGGTGGTTCATATATGAAGTCGTAGATAATCAACTGGTTAAAATAATCACTTGCTACCCGTCCTAGCGACGACGTGCAAAAGATATGACTACAAGTTTTTTGACGGCCGCATATTTCTTAGATCTACCGTATGACCGGATACATTTTGTTAGCCAGTTCGTTCCGTTAGACTCTATCTGCATACTTCGACCAGCATGCTATGATTTTACGTGGGAAAAAGATCAGTGGGTAGCGTCAAAACTTCTGCAATACCTAATATTCATTTCAAGGTTTGAATGATCTGACGTCCTAGTGAGAGTGGTCTTTAATTTTTGTAACAATGAGTTTCTGTTTGCTGCCCATAAATCTAAGAGAGGATGTTGTAGATGGATTTTCTTGTTCACTGTTAGGAAGTGAACATATACAGCAGTATCAATGAGTTAGCTTCTCTTCGGCGGAACAAGGTTTAATGATGAATGTCCTGGTGGTTGGCTGGCTCAGCTAGGCCATATATGGTGTAATTTTGAAATAAAACAAGATACCGATTGGGAAAAATTTAGGTGGAAAAATTATCCGGAAAGACGTTTATTAAGAGTTGGATTAACATATATTGTTAACCTCAAGCGATAGGAACTAGTTATCCATTTATATTCGAGTTATATTACTTACTTAACGGAGCACAGGTTGCCGACCAGCATACTACAAACAGTTCTGCCCTAGGCCTTCCTTTCCAGTTCTACTTAATTTCTGCTGATTCTTTTTATGTCTTCTTCCGATTGTCTCAATGGTAAATACTCGGATTGTTAAAATAGCTCAAGGGAGCAATGCAAAGACATGGAAAACATGCCATCTGATTTATTTATAAATAGTGCACAGTAAATTGAGCTATGTCAAATAGTATTCATTTAGCGAAATCTCTGCTTCGTTTGGTTTGTTTTCATGTTTTACTAAGCTCCAGAGCAACGGTAATGCCACTCAATTACAATTATTACTAACGCCTGTTGCCCCTCGTGACACATACTCCAATTCTCAATGTAATGCGTTATTTAATATTCTTCTCCTCCTTTACCTCCCAGGTTACAAGTAAGGGCTTGCCTTGTGGTGAATTTGGAGCTTTCCTCAATGTGTGCTATCTAACTCCGGCGCGTTTTTCTGATTTCTTATTCAGCTATTACCCGGTCTTTTCTCTTCTGTAGTAGGTTGTTTTTGATGGTGTCTGGTCAATATCTTGCACAGACAACTGTTAATAAACACTTCCTCCTGATGAAGGCTGCTGTAATTCTCCAAGTTTTCACCCTATATGCCAGAACCGTCTTGACATTTGCACGAAAAACTATGACTTTGGTGTTAATTGACAGTTGTTTTGGGTTCCAAATGTTCTTCAGCCATAGAAGTGTTGCCCTTGCTTAGACAATCTGCGCCTTCATATATGCATCAGATTCACTGTGCTCATCAGTGGGGCTGTCCAAAATGTCAAGGTTTGTTAAATCCTCCAAATATTTTCTGTCAAGGTTGATTTGGTTGGTTCACCTGAAGTTGTATCTAGTGATCTTGCTTTTTCCGCTGAGTATGTTGAGACCTACTGCTACAGAGGGTGCTGAAACAGTGGTCGTCTTCTCTTGCATCTGTTGTTGCATATGGGACAGAAAAGTCAGTTCCTCCACGAAGTCTGAATCGTTCAGCTGCATCCAAGCTGACCACTCTACCCCTTTCTTACTCTGAGATGTTTCCTTAATCCAGTTGACCACCAGCAGAAAGAGCAATGATTGGAGTAAGCAACCTTGAAAGACTCTAGTCTTTATTTGGAACGAGTCTGTTAGCTGTCCTTCACGCACGATCTTGCAGTCTAATCCATCATAAGAATTGCATATGATGTTTAATATCTTCTAAGGCACGCCTTAGTGTCGAAGAAGCCTCCACAAGTTTCACTTCCCACCAAGAAATCTCAATACAAGTAAATCCGGATAATAAGCAGAAGGACTATTATTCTGGGTCTTCTTATTTAGCTATCAGTCATGAAAATGGACTACTTAATAATTATGACCAATCCTTTGTTTTTTAATCCTTTCTTCCGATCTTTGCTTCTGTTCCGTATGCATGTGTTCAAAGGCCTATTTGAGATTGTCTACCGTTTCCTCGTTTTGGTACTAGTTGTAATAAGTTCGTCTTTAGGCAAACCAAATCTTACACTGATCTCCTGTATACACAGCAACATTTCTGTTAGTGAATTGTGTTACAATCTAATATTGTAGGCTCCCATTTTGAAGAATAACCTTTATTTAGAGTACCACAATTTTTGTGAACATCATTAGAATACATAATAGATGTAATTTATCTAATGACCTCGTGCGTCAGTTCGTTCACTATTGCAAGGAACTGTGCACAATAGTCCGTCATTCAGTGCATGCAGAATGCAGCTTCCGCAGAGTAACGCCAGTGCTGGATATTAGTGTGCCAAATTAGTGCTAGCTGAAAGATGGGGGTTGAAATAGACTTAATCTCTGATGGTTGAGATGTGAGTTCAGATACGATAAAAAATAACATGGATGAAAACGTGGAAAAATAACACAAATATTATATGACAATGAGTTCAAATATACCTATGGTGGTATAATAATTAGCAAACTCACAGACCACGTCGGGCTGGCCAATGGGGATGTTACCGATATTCGAGGTCGTAACACCTTTCTAATCAAAGATTGCAAATCCTGTCAAAGCAGAAGTTTGGAATGAAGGAAGAGAATGAGAGAAAGTCGGTATAACTAAAAACATATAATCTAATCTGTTTAGCTGTTATGAGAGATACGTAGCATCCTGTGTGCAGATGTGTGACAGGACGCCATTAACTAGAGTGTGTCCAGTAAGAATAATGGGCGTTGCATTGATATTTAAGAACTGAGGAACGAATTGTTTCAGGGATTGATTTACTGTAACTGTTCGTAAGCAGCCAGTCAGGTAGATTTTTCTGTGAATCCTTTAGCGTCCTAATGATCATATGAAATTTGCACAACAGTTACCGAATTCCGAAAGACAAGGGGATAGCCAATGGCATTTAATCTTCGGTAGTGACGATAGTGACGATAAGAGATCAACCGTGGAAAAGCTGTGCCTGATGCATTCATTTAGACCTAATAGTTGTTATTATCGCCATCTCCTCAGATCACTAACCTAATCTATCTCGCCTATTATCTCTTTTTCCACTCCCTTGCTTACATTTTGGTCCTCAATCACAATCTTCACTACCAATTAATAAACTAAACTATCTATATATGACTTAGTTCTGATATCCTCTTATCTGCATTAGAATTTTCTCATTATTATTCTCTGCATTGCAACTAACTTATCTCCACTCTGGTAACGTGATGGCTGCTGATATCCAGAAATCCTACTGCCCTGAAACAAACGTTTTCATTCATATCACGGGACACACAAACTCACAGACCACTGCCAACTGGCTAGAATTAGACAGACGAGTGGCTAGACCCCCATTCATTTGACACTACCGAAAGAAAAGAAAGTGAGCGCAGGGAAATCAGTTGGCTTACGCTAGCTCATGAAAAGGATTGGATATCAACCAATGTATACAGTATACAGTATATACGTAAAAAGTATTATACAGGTTCAGTTTCACTTTGAAGGTAACGATGGAAAGAGTTCACATTACATGTTCCTATTGATAATTCGCAGTCCGAGGACGGAATTCCAAAAGCAAACGATTCGATCTCGTTATTTGCAGTTTTTCAGACTGCCCTTTCAGATGATCAATCGTAGATGAGGGAGAATGAAATATTCGTTAAGACTAAAATCTTCATTATATATAATCAGAATATTTCAATGTACACAATTAAATACATACTTTTGAGCCTAGAAATATCGTAGCTGGAAACTTCTACATCACAATTAGTGTTGTTTGGGCCAGTTTCAATCTCTCAGAAATACCGTTTACTGTTTTCCCGGAATTTTAAAATGGAGAGTTGGCAATTCAGTGAAGAGTTTCATATTAATAAGTAGGGATGTAGTTTAAATTAGAATTATTTTCAGTATTCCTTCTCAAAGAGGAATAGTAGAATGCACTTATGATGGGAAAAATTGTATTTTCATCAGACGGACTAAGATAAATAATATAAATACGAAACTTCACAATGAAGGTGATATCCTCATTCTAGTAATACAACAATCTGAGATTTTCCAGTTGGCACAACAGTTATCGAGGTTCAAGCATGCGCAAATACTTATTCTTAATCAAATGTCGCTGGATTTATTACCAATGTGCATTTGTTCATTTAGCCATCTTACATTGTTGGATATTTCAAACAATTATTTGAGGAGTTTACCCCCGGATATCGTTCAATTAACATCACTTATCATGCTGAATGTTTCAAAGAATCAACTAGTGGATATCACTGTTATATGCGAATTGTCACACCTTCAATCTCTTGATGTAACCGAAAATAAGTTAACGGTACTTCCCCAGTCACTTTGGAAGCTTGAAGGACTGAAAACATTTTCTTGTTCATGGAATAAGGTTGGCAGTCTTCCGGAAGAAATCGGGAGACTGAGGTCACTTACTACTCTACGTTTAACAAACAACAAACTTTCCACTCTTCCTCGCTCTTTTACAAATCTAACTGATTTACTGCTTCTACAACTTGACGGAAACTTTTTTGACCATATCCCTTTGCAAATTTTTGATTGTATCTCATTGTTGGAACTAAGTGTGTCTCACAACACAATAAGAGGTAGTATTCCTTCTAAAATATGTTCGTTGGTTTACTTGCGTACTTTGAATTTAGCATATAACAGAATAACCGAACTTCCAGCAGAAATGGAACTGTTGAACTCTTTGGAATATTTAGACGTCAGTGGTAATCCAGTAAAACTCTCGTCATTTTCCTTCGGAAAACTCAATCGAATCCAAAATTTTTCTTCATCAAAATGTGGCTTGTCATCTATCCCGGATGATCTTAGTTTATGTCCAAATCTTGTTATTCTTAATCTTAGCGAAAACAGAATAGGAAGACTAGCTACAGAAAGTCTCAGTTTCCCTCACTTAACTTCTTTGTGTCTAGCTTATAATAATATTTTCACCCTACCATTTTCAGTCTGTGAACTGAACAACCTGGTGGTTTTAGAGTTACAATTTAACAAATTGAATTCACTTCCAGAAGATTTTGGGAGGTTATCATGCACACTTCGTCAATTAAATCTTGGTCATAATAAATTTGAGGATATTCCCATATCCTTGTTTTGTAGAGGAAGCCGTTTGTCGTATTTATGTTTGGACGCTAATCCCATTTCCGAAGTTCCAAATGAAATAAGCAACCTGAAGGAACTTACTTATTTATCTATATCTAACTGCGCACGACTGCTGTCCTTGCCCGAAGGCTTAGGATCATGCAATAATCTCCGTACGCTCAAAGTTTCCAAGAACAAGTTATCGTCTCTTCCAAAGACTTTATCTAATTTGGAATCACTCAGGTACTTGAATCTCTCAGATAATGACTTCGACCACTTTCCGTTGGTTGTTTGCCTAATACCAAGACTTCGTGTGCTATTTTACGATCAAAAAGAAGGTAGACCACTGTTATCTCCAGAATCTCCCAATGGGTGGTATCAGAAAAGTTTACTACTGTATCCTGAAATGAAAGACTCATTTGATTCAAATTATGGAGGTAATGTCAGAGAAAGTACGGAAGTGATTTCATCGAAAAATGCTTTACTGAATTCACAAGCAACCAAAGGTTTGCCACCAATGATTGGAAATCTTTCACATCTGACTCATTTATCTCTTCAGTCTAATGGATTGTATATGTTACCTGACGTATTTCATAATATGATGTTACGGCGACTAAACGTGAGCCATAATCGTTTACGCTATCTTCCTCCAAATTTCCACAAGTCTAAGTGTTTGACGCATTTGTACTTGCACAACAACAACATTGATCACTTAGATCAAAGTATTCGAAACCTGAGAACTCTAACCGTATTGACTCTTGACCAGAATCCACTATTATGCCCTCCAGTGGAAGTTGGTTCGGAAAAAGTATTTTCGGTGTATTCTTACTTACAGAAATACAAAGAGTTTGATGGTAAGTATTGTAACTTCTGGATCAAGGTGTTGTGTAATACTTATAGATGACAGTGAATCTAAAGTAACTGCCAGTCATTCTTCCTCAGCATAACTTTCATGATTCTTAATCTTTCCTTTATTATGTAACATATCATGACCGTATAAAAAACTGTGTCACAGTTTTAACCGAATAAACCGTGGAGCTAGGGTAACATCTCTCATTATAATACCAAAAAATAAAAACAATTAAAAACATAGGTTTGTGATAGCTGACATCACTCTTTAGAGAGAGGTGTAAATGACAAAGCCACTCTAACTGGAATTATGTAAGATATCCTTTCAAATAACAAAAGAGCTTTTAGAAAATCAATAAAGAAATAAGTTAGTAAACATTTAGCGAACATTTTCATATCGTACCTACCGAAAGCCACATAGGTGCATTTTTACTACGATCTGGTTGCGCTAATGTTGTATTGAAATACAGACCAATATATGTATACATTTGCTAGGTTCTACACTGCTTATGAATGACTAACGGGGACATATTTTGAGTAAACTTTAGAAGTCTCAATCAGAGAGTAAAATTGGTGATAGTAAAAGTTGGTGGATTATATTGGAGCAAATTTTCCGTGAAGAAAAACTAAGTGTAACTAAAACAAATAATACAATACATAGTATCTTTTTCTTAATAACCAACAGGAGTCTCGCTTACTTTTTGAGTACTAATCAATAGCGGTTCAATAACCTGAATTAGAACGTAAGCTTTTGTAATGGACTGTGATCACCTAGAGTTCAGTGACAGATTGCAGTACGAATTCCACTGAATAAAAGAAAAGAATCGTTAACTAATCCTAAGCAGAAAATCCACTATTTGTGTTTCGGTAGGTGCAAAAAATGGTGAATTTGCTGTCCTGGCCAGTTATACTTATTGTCGATTGTTTTTTTACTAAAAACTTTAGAGTTCCTAGAAGTATCTGTTAATCACCTCAACCAGAAAACACCTATTGAAAGAAATAAACGGCTCTGCTGAAGGATAAAATATTTTTGAATAGAATTTGAAGTTGGTGTTTGGACAGGTTTCACATAATGAAAGCTACTTGATCTAATTTTTTGATGTCATACTTTATAGTAGCTAAAGGCAGATCTCATTTTTTGATGTTTAAACTTTAAGACTTTGACCAAGGTCTTTTGGACATCCAAAAAGACTTTTGTATTCGGTCTTCTTTGTTTGTATATACTTAATTTTCTCTTAGTACACAGCAATCACAGACTTGCTACTAAAAAAAATGATTGCGTATGATATATATAGAAAACTAGTCGCAACAATTCGTTTGTTTACTAAACTGTCAAATCTATTTTGATGCTTCTGAGGATCATAAGTTTTTCAGTACCTCATGGTTATTGATGATTACTTCTTGGAGTGGAACCAGGTTGTAATAAAAGCCCCTGACAAAATAGTGCTGACCTCTAGTCACAAATTAATTTACATTCTAATTTTTTTCGTGAATGATTTTTCATTTACAATGCAGAATTTGTATTGAAGTCTCTATGTGAAATACTTATAAATGACTTTCCAAAAGAAAATACACACAGTCTACTTCGGAAACTTGGTTTCTCTGATATTATGATTGAATCCCTGGAAAAACGGTTTCCTGGAGGTCACAACCATGTTAAACGTTTAAAAATTGCCTTTGGAGCTTGGACTGGTTTTTCTTTCGAGTCTGAAGATAAAGATTTAAATATAAAGTCTAAAATTCCATATTCTGGTCAACAGATAACTGGTAACAAGGATTTTAGCACATCTGATATGCCTGCTGAGCTAGATGAGAAATTGATACTTCAGGATCAACCTCTGCAATTTGAACCGCTCGGCATAAAAGACTCTTTCAGCCCAACTGATGAAATGTTATTGAACGAGTCAACTTCTAATTTAAATATCAATTCACACAGGCTTTTACATATTGTACATTTACTTGGTTTAGATGAGTTACATTCAAAACTTATGCAATACTTTCTAAGTGTTCAGCGTATACAATTTTGAGCTGTTCATTCAACCAGCTAAACTTATATTTACTTGACTGCTTCTGTTGTTTCATTTTAAGATATCTTTTAAGATATCCTGTTTTCTTCTAGACGATATTTGCTAAAATTCTATTCTACTGCTAATAACTTAAAAATTTGATTTTTAACTTAGTAACAAATACAGTCCTGTTTTTAGAAACTGTTTGTTTTGTCTTTACTATTATTTCACTACTAGAATTCAAAACATTTTATTCATTTGCAACTAACTACAGTGTCTCTCTAACGTGCCAGCATACAAGTAACTTCTAGTGAATTGCCGAATAGCTAAATCTAACTATTTCTTTAGGATAATAAATGAAAAACACTATTGTTTGATAACAAGTTTATTCCAGTTAAATAAAATAGCTTCGAGTTTATGCAGTGCTAGCACAGAGTTTCCTACTACTAGATTTCAAGCTTTGGATTGCGTTCCGTCTATTTCGGTTTATTAATAGATTGATTTGTTGAAACTTATTATCTGTACTGCGCCTCAAAATTAAGTACATGAACCTGTGTTAATTTTTTAAGTCAGTTATTGAAGTAAAAATAAATTATTTTTTAAGAGTAGATAATTATTCTCCTACAAAATATACAATTCGTCTTTTTAGTGTTATTATTAACATGTGTATATACTAACATTATTTTAATTTTCCTAAAGAAATAACATGTAATGATTGGTGAATATTCTCTTCTGTCGATAAAATAAATTATAATATCCTCTGGCCTAGGTTTTTTCAGTACTTTTCCAGTTGAAATCATCGGGAGTTAGAAAGTATTTTCTAGGTTTTATTTGTACCAGAAATCTTCAATAAAATAAAAAGATATATCTATTTGTAAGTTATGTCATAACAATGATATTCATTATACTACACTGGGGTGTTTTTAAGTTTTACAAAACATCTACTTAGCACACTAATAATTTAGCGATAATCATTTGTTCAGACGTTTTGAAAAAGGTCTTCATTACTGTTAATTAGCAGCTCATTCATGTGATATAGTTATTGATTTAGTGCATAAGTGTAACGTTTTGATCTTCATTTGATAAAATAGTACTTTAATCTCATTCAAAAGTGCTTTCTCATCGTTCTTATTTTAAAAATTAGTTGTCTGTGAAAGTTTAATCCTTAAAGTTTAATCAACAAAAAGTAGCGAAAGAAAATGAACTTTGTAAAAAATCTTTGAAAATATCCCAATGTCACAAAATGTCAGTTTCAGCGCAAAATATTCAGTGGTAACGTCTCTGAGTGTCACTGTGTGACTCTAATTCAAATTACACTAGCAAAATCCGTTCTCTCAAGATTAAAACTAAGTTTTAGGCAACCAGTTCTAACTTCCATAAATCATAGTTTTTGGCCCTTTGTCAATGAAATCCAACAACGTATTCTAAATTGTCGTAATTGTGTGCATTATATATTCTTTCTATAATGATAATATGAGAAATCCCACAGAATGTAAGAATATTCTAATGGCTAATCGAAAGCAAATCAGAGGTTGAGATCTGGCTTATTTAATGATACCTCTCAATAACATAACACAGAGATATTCATAACTACTAAGTATAATAGATAGGAGAGGTGCTAGAAGTTAATCATCTAAGCAACAGGTTCCGGGACTTGCACGGTCTACTCAGTGGAGAGGAAACTACTATGACGCCCAACTTCGACATCAACAGGCTGAATCGATCGTGTACTGACCAAATTGAAACATTACGAATCATTGTGAAACAATTGATTGGAACTCACCACTCTACATCAGCTTCACTGACTACGAGAAAGAATTTGATAGTGTGGACAGGACAAAACTATAGAGGCTTCTTTAACACTACGATGTGCCTGAGAAGATAGTCAACATCATACGGAATTCTAAAGATGGATTAAACTGCAAAATCGTGTACGGAGGACAGCTGACAGACTCGTTAAAGGTGAGGACCGGTGTCAGGTAAGGTTGCTTACTCTCACCCTTTCTCTTTCTCCTGGTGATCATCTTGATCATGAAGACATTAAGATCTAGAAGGAAGCACGGTATAAAGTGGACGACTAGTGTAGCAGCAGCCTCAACAGCAGCAGGTCTCAACATACACAAAGGGAAAAGCAAGATTCTCAGATACAACACAATATGCTTAAACGAAACCACTCTTGATGTAGATGCCTTGGAGGACGTTAAAACCTTTACATATCTGGGCGGCACCATCGACAATCAAGGTGGATCCGATAAAGATGTGAGGTCGTGGATCGGCAAAGAAAGGGTTGCATTTCTACAACTAAAAATATCTAGAACTCCAAATAAATATCAGCAACAAAATCAGGATTTTCAATACATTTGTCAAGACAGTTCGAGAAGATACAAGTATTCATTACCAGTTGTTTGCGTAAAATACTTCGAATTCGTTGGCCAAACACCATCAGAAACAACCCACTGTGGGAAACAGCAATCCAAATTCCGGGGGAGTTAGAAATCAGGAAGAAGAGCCGGAAGTGGATGGGACATACGCTGCAGGAAGCACCCGACTGCGTCGCAAGACAAGCCCCCACTTGGAACCCCCCAGGTCAAAGGAAAAGAAGAAGGCCAAGTAACACATTAGGCCGAGAAATGGCGACAGATGAGAAGAATGAACAAAAGTTGGACAGAACTGGAAAAGGAAGCCCAGTACAGAGTAGGTTGGAGAATACTGGGAGGCGGCCTATTCTCCATTGGAGGTGTCAGTCAAAGCAGCGAAATTATATCAATATGTTACGACCCATCCAATGTTGACTCATGTGGGCGTAACGAACGAAGATACAGTCTACAAGCTAAATATGCACGACTTATCTTCACACTTCCATTTTTAAAAAAGCAGATTGTTAGCTGTCTTCTTTCACGTGTCTCCCAAAAATGATTGCACCATACACCCAAGTTCAACATTCTTCTCTTTGGAAGTAACATCTGTGCGACACTCCGCTACCTACTACTTATAAGGCACGTTGTGATTAGTATACATCACACTGCAAAGTCCCCCAAAATAACCGAGAGTTATTCACTACTCTTGATACTTTTTCAAATGTTCTTTAGTTCGCTTGAACCAATGCAGAATTATTTCATCACAAATTCTAAAAATGACAAACAATAATAAAACTAGGGACTGATTTGATTTCTTTCTGTTTTGAAATCCTCAAAAACTCTCCAAAATCAATGTCACTGAAGATCTAAATTTAAAATTTCTGTTGAACAACTACACTTAGTATGTTCAAATAACTGGTTCCTAAAGTACAGTGATTGTTTTCTCAAAAACCCATCGATTGTTGTAGTTTTATCTTCTGACTTACAATATTTATTATACAATGATCAATATTTGTTGTACAATAAAATCAATATAGTCGACTGGATATTTAGCATTTTAGAGTACATCCGGTCTATCAGGTTAAACATTTTATTTGAAACTAAAATTATATAAGGAACATGGGAGAATAAGCGTAAAAACAAGTGATTTGATTCAAATAAAATGAAGTATAACAAAACTAGCGTGTAGTAAATAAATAACGATAATCTACAGCTTTCTATGATCATTATCAACTATATACCTTGTACAGTTTTTATATGAGCATTCAAACTGTGTATTTTCTGATTCATCAACTGAGATGCTTAACTGTAGATGAGAAAATACTTTACCATTATTTAGGTTTGCAGAAATTTTATATTCTACAAACAGTCAATTATTAATTACTAATACATTTCCCAATCCCGGAACAGAGTAGGTTGATGAATGCTAGTCGACTATCTATGCTCCATGAGGGTTAATAAGCGTGAGTAAGTAAATACATTTCCCAATATGTAGTTATACATGTACAAGTATGAACTGATATAATTATTTATTCGCTATTGAAATCTTCGATTAGGTTGTTTACTTAAAAGTTTTTATGATTTGGTTATTAACTGCGGAAAATGCAATGAATTAGGTTTCATGTTAGATGTTACTATGTTCATGTAAAAACCAACAGTATTCGTTTATAAGACAAATTGTTGTTGAATACTTTCTGATTTCCTTTACTAGCTGTTTAATTTTGAATGTATTCTGAGTTGAATACAGCGTGTAATTTCTCAAAAAAATTATTTCACATTATTTGTTGTTTTTATTTGAACAAACAGATATAATCTGAGTGTTTAAGTTTTTATAATTATAAGAATAGATATTATTTATTTAGAATTTTGCTTAATAAAATTCTATGCAATGGATATGATTTGACTAAAGATGAGAAGTAGGATAACACAAATTTACTGATACCTATAAGTCAAAATTTTTATGAAAGTATGCACTCAATAAGTTACGGTTGGAATTTTAACAGATCATGCATGATTCAACAGAAAGAAAATTGTTATAATACGTAACTAACTTCAAATGATTAGAAGGACCAACTCAGTAAAATCCTGTTCAATAGTACTCTCGGTAAACATATTCTGTAATATCCTTTAAAACATATAAGATGGAAAATCACAAGGAGTAAGATTTTACATCATTCATCATATATAATAATGTTCAATAAAAAACAAATCTACTTCAAAGTGTAGTAAAAAAAAATTCAAATTTAATAAAGTGGATTAAGTGACCATTTGATATTTGAAATTTAAGGAAACTAAGTTCCAGTGAAATTTTGAAAACATTAATGTGTATGAACAATGATCACAGTACGTTCCTGTTGGTTAGATGATGATTCAATAAATTAAAAAACAAGCTCATTGTTCAATATGATATTCAGTATACGACCATTTGTTAATCCTCATAAACTTTAATATGCAGGCAAAAATTTGATAGAAAACGTAAGGTAATGCCACCTAGGCCTGTTCAGGAAATGGTGTTTATACACTCAGTTGGTTAATTATCACCAAAAACCCTCCTAAATGATATCTTTTGATTCTTTGGTCCTCTTTGGTTTTAAACTAAACGATCAAATATATTAATTTTTATAGGAACATTGATAAACAGTAGAAGAGGTTTGGAATTTCTGATTAGTTCTATTTCAGCAGAACAAAAATATCACAAGCCTTCACATCGAATTTATGACGGAATGCAATATGCTTGATTCGGTTTATGATAATTTAACTACATTTCATTGTTACGCATAAAT